TTTTTTTAGATTTGTTCTGTATACACAAATTTTCATAAAGAAAAATGTAAATTGTTTCAGGTGGTTTTTAATGAATTGGTTGCTTATAATACACACATACACAAAACAAAAAGGAAAAATCACTTACTGGTGTAACCTGCAGAAAGTCTCACTGAAAGAATTAGTGGATTAATCTGTTGTTTGGTGAACATAAAATCTGTTATTTGGTGAACAGATTCAAAAGATTCAAGTCACTGGGATGATTCAAAATCCCTATCACTAGGCTCTGATGGACCCTCTGGTAAATGTTGTTGGTAATGAAAAGTTGATCACATAGTAAGATCGTTGACCTGCTCTTTTCTGTTTGGCAGCATAAACGGGATGTTCAGAAGACCACCAAATATGTGGAGCTCATCATTGTAGCAGACAACAGGGAGGTAGGACAACAAACAAACACAAAAAGTTTGACAGAGATTGTGGTGCAAGACAAGTTAAAAAGTATTTTGGTAAGTGTCAGTCAGATATCACAGAATCTTGTTATCTTACATGCTCCACCAAACTGGTTTGCATGTGTACTCTAAGTACTTTAACATCAGACTCATAAAGAAAGAAGAATGAAGGGAAATGTGCTGTAATTCCCAATTGTATTTGGTTGAGTACTGTGCAGTGTTTGGGTTACGGTAAAGTTTTGGTTCTTTGTTTCACCTTAGTAGGCCAAACCAAAAGCAGGTCATAGAGGGTGGGACCTGACTGGAATTAGGGCAATGCTCCCAAATGATCAGACAGGAAACAGGAAGTGTTGTGTATAAAGTGAACATTGGATGTGGGAAAAGGAAACTGGGCAACAAGAAAGCTACCATGTTATCAGCACAGCTGTCTGTATATTAAAGTGTGTGTATGTGTGTGTGAGAGGGAGAGAGAGAGACGGAGTTATTGTGATGGTTTTCATTCCTGTTAATTAAATTATCATGCAACACTATTTGAATAAAAAGGCTTATCCATTCTATTAATTCTATTAATTTTTGCATCTTAAACATACACTCACAGGGGAAGCAATGCTGGACCAAAAGTGGCTGGCTGTCACACGTGTCTCCAAATTGCATTTTGTTTTTTGTTTTTTACTTTGATTGCTATTGTTCAGTGCCGCTACCCTGCTTTAATGGTCACTTTCAAGTGCTCTTAAGAGTGTGCCGTCAGACACACTTCTGATAACACCCCTACATATGACAGCCACTCAGAGGGTCATGCATTGTTTAAAAATCCATCTAGACTCTGGTCTTATACTTGTTGGAGTATATCTTTCATCTCACTTGTGTCTTTTCTTTCCCCGTTCAGTTCCAGAAACAAGGAAAAGATGTGGAGAAGGTTAAGCAAAGGCTAGCAGAGATGGCCAATTACGTGGACAAGGTATTAAATGCCATTTTTCGCCAGAATGAATGGGAACACTTGATTAGAAGTTTAAAATAGAGGCCTGGTTGTCAGAGATGAATGTAGGACTGCTGAGGTAAAGGACGAGATTTTAAATAAACCCCCTTTTGAAAGAAAGCTAAGTATTTTTAGGTTAGGTTAAATTGACTGATGTCCAGATAGACATAGATGGATGGATGTACTGCTGTGTCAATAGATGTATGAGGTAAAGCTCATTAAGAAATAGTTTGGAGGGGTTTGATATTATGTGTTCTCTCAGTTTTACAGAGTGCTGAACATTCGTGTAGCTCTGGTGGGACTGGAGGTGTGGAGTGATGTCGATAAGTGTGCAGTCACCCAAGACCCCTTCACAACCCTGCATGAGTTTTTGGACTGGAGAAAACTTAAACTGCTGCCGCAGCGGCCACATGATAACGCCCAGCTTATTAGGTTCAAACACAGCCATATTACACACATTATCACATATACACACTTTGGCATGTGTGTCAGATTTTTTAACAAACTGTACTCTAACAGCACAGAATAAACTAATGCTAACTCAGGAGAATGCACATCTTGGGGGCCATTCACACAGAATGTGTTTTTGCAGTTAAACACACTAGATGCAGGGCAGTGGAACAGGAAAAAATGCAAGTCCTAGAGACACATGTTTTAAAAGTTGAACTTCTTTTAACTTGAGCTATGTGAGACACTGCAGAAGATGCAGACGTGAGCGCAATGGTCAAACACATCAGTCTAGCACGTTTACATTAAAAAATAATTGAAAAGCAGCACAGTGGAATATAAAAATGCGTTCTGTGTGAACGGAATTGAATACTAACATATTGCTTCCCATATTCTGTGCTGTATATACTATTAGAAAGATTTCTGTTATAAATAAATGCTGTTCTTTTGAACTTTCCATTCATCAAAGAGTCTTGAAAAAAATATATTTTGTTTTCACAAAAATATTAATCAGCACAACCATTTTCAACATAAATAATACTAAGAAATGAGAATATAGTGAAGGATCATGTGACACTGAAGACTTGAGTAATTCAGCTTTGCCATAGCTACATTTTAATAATAAATTACATTTTAAATATTTTCAGTTAAAAAACAGGTATTTTAAATTTTAATATTATTTCACAACATTACTGTTTTACTGTATTTTTGATCATGCAGCCTTGGTGAGCATAAGAGACTTCTATCAAAAACATTTAAAAAATCCTACTGATCCTATATTTTTGAACACTATAGCATACTGAATGCTGCCTACGATTTTCTAAAAAATGAATCCATTATGTAACAATAAACATTTGATATAGTATGCTGCATTATTGATACAAGACCTCTAGGTAGCATGTTTAATTCAGCAGGTGCTGTAGCATGGTAGAATGTTATTCTGAACATGTATTAATCTTAGTCTTATTACTTGGCTATGCAAGTTTTGTACCGTATATTTAACCTCACTTTTATTCTTTTATGGCAGTGGGGTGTACTTCCAGGGCACCACAATAGGCATGGCTCCCATCATGAGTATGTGTACCGCTGAGCAGTCAGGAGGCATTGTCATGGTGAGAAATAAATCATCACACACTCTGTGTCCCATAATTAGCACATTCACACTGAGCTGCACAACCATCCAGCTTTAGACTTTCATGATTTAAAAGCATTGAAATTTAAAGGGATAGCTCATTTTCTATAATAATTCTGTCATTATTCATCATCCTCATGCTATTCCAAAGCTGGTACATATTTTTTTTTCCATAGGGACTAAAGCTTAAAAAAATGCAAAAGGACTTCTCAGGCTAGAAAACCTCAGTTCCATTCATTGTAATGAGCCTGCAGCTTATTTATGGTCCAGAAAGAAAATCATATGGGTTTGGAACATCATGAGGGTAAATAAATAGTGACTTTTTCATTTTTGGGTGAAGTATTCTTTTAAGGTATAGGTTGTGTCCCATCCAGTGTGGTGTAGTGACTTAAAGAAAGACAACTAAATCCCTCTTGGTTTATTCATGATTTTTTGAAAAGGCCCTGCACTCCTTTAACCTGCTGCTGTTCTTTAGGTGTGTGTTTTCTCTTGAAAAGCCAGTGTTGTACAGTTAAAATTCCAGTGACATGATAAACACAAATCACTGCCCTAACAGATTTGCTTTAGTGTTTGATCATTTTCAGGAAAACACATACAGTGGAGTGGGAACCTGAAATATGAGGACACTTCTAACATTTGGAATTAAAATTTTAATTTAAACCAGGAAATAATTATAAAAAGGAAGAGAGAAAGAGAGAGAAATAGTATCATGTAAAATTAATAAGAAATATTTTCGGCATATACCTTATATATTTGTGGAGTTGAGTTTTGCTGCCATTTTTTAAAATGTTAAATACCTATAAAATTTTAAATACCTATTCGACCATCTATCACTGCTTTGCTGCTGTATGGCTAAATAAAACACATTTACATTTTTATTAGTCTAGATCTATCATCCATGCCACTGTAACAAACTGTGACTCTTAAACAGGACCTCACAGAGATGAAGTCATTAGCCATAGGTCTGAGTTACAAACTGTTGTGGTGCTGTATGAAAAATGATTTCCATTAACTTCTTAAATGGATAGTTCCCCCAAAATGAAAATTCTGTCATCAATTACTCACCCTCCTTTGTTTTAAAAGCGCATGATTATTTATTTCTTCTGTCAAAAGGATGATCATGTTGTTCTTTTCTATACAATGAAAGTGAAAGGTCACCGGGGACTGTCAAACTCCAAAAATGACAAATAAAGCACCATAAAATTGGTGCATATGTTGCACAAATGGACCTTTTCTATAGTGCTTTTGTCATTTTTGACACCATTTACTTCATTGTTTGGAAAACAGCTGCATGAATGTTCTGCTAAATTTCCATGGCATGAGAATGAGTAAGTGATGACAGAATTTTCATTTTTGGATGAAGTATTTCTTTACGTTATTTCATAAAATCAACAGATCCACTAAAGAGAGAAAGAAACTTAAAAGAGACAAAAGGGGACACACACACAAAGATTTGGGAAAAGAGACACTGTATGCTAACTGATATACAGTATTTCTGTATTGGCTGCTGTGGTTTCAGAGTCTTGTTTCCATATGTGTATCTGTCCCCCATTTACTTACATATGGCAAACAGAGACTGAAAATGAATCTGGCTGTGAATTAAACCAAATCTTGTACCATGTTATAAGGCTGATCATCTTAAAAAGTCTTCACAATCCTCTGCGTTGACTCACAAATTGTCTGAGAAGATTTGAATCTAACAGTCTGACTTTTGTGCAAACAAATTTGGACTAACCATAATGAACACATCTTACATGATTATAGGAATCTAAAACTTGGAATGTCTTTGGTAGGAGATACCCTGTAAAATTTGGAACTAACTTGACAGAAACCCAAGAGCACTTAAATATGTCTGTTACGAATAAAGGCACCATGTTTTCAATGTGACAGCTTGGTAGTGGTTTCTTGGAATAGTTAAGTCTGGATTTCCCACAGCATTAACCACACTGTATTAGTCTGCAATTATGCTCAAAGAGGGGCAAGTCACTCATACTCAAGATATACGGTCATCAGTGGCACACTATAGATCTTGAATAAATAAAATGAGGCAGATAAATATCACCCCTGTTGGCTCTGAAAGCTAAGATGAGCCTGTCATGTTCCTCGCCCTGTAATCAAGGCAGGAAATGGCATTTTGATGTACAGCGAAATGGAAAAAAAGACAGTCAGGTTATAGTTGTGTGAAAAGATGGCAGCTAAATTAAGAAAAAAAATATGTTTCTGGGTTTTTAGAGGTGGTTCGCTGGTAACCAGGACACGTTCGTGAGGCAGCAGGGAGGTTTTCTTCACTTCGGCTGAAATGGATAATGCTGAAGCTCTGCTTTGTTCTCAGTGAACAGATGATGAAGAGAGCAGAAGAAAAAGGGAAGGAGAATAAGAGCAGTGGTGCTTGAATGTGTGTTTTATGGCAAGGTTGAAAGAGATTTTAAAAGAGAGAGTTTGAAAGAGAAAGGATCAAAATTCATAGGAGAATCTACAGCCAAAGATATTTAACACAACATCACTATCTGCTGGTCCTTTCACGTGTCATACATGATTAATCAGATGTTATGTTTTTTTCCAGTCTAGTACGAGGAAATAACTGAATATTAGGGCTGTTATTTAATTAAAAATTAACCCAATTAATTATATCATAAGTCTTCAAAGTTTATTTTCAACCTGCTTCAGCACACCTGGGGCCCGTTCTTGTGCGTCGCTAACTCAGTTAGCTGGATTTGATTGTTGACGATTTGGCATGATCTTGGATTGTTTGGTTCTTTGAAGCTCATCTTGGAGTTGCTGTCATAGCAACAGGTCCGTAAACTTAAACCTGCTCGGGAGCAGGCTTATTTCATGTAAACAGGATTAGAT